ACAGTAATAGGTAAACTGTCCATATTCCTCAACATTTTGTTATGGGGTGGAAGTGGTTTTAATGTTTTATTTAGTGTGTTTTATTGGTTTGGTTTTATCGTATGGTTTTATGCATGTTTGTATATATCTGTGAAGGTTCTCAGTCATCCAGGTCATCGTAGTCTAAGGAGCTTGGAAAGAAAAGCATCTGGACTTCTTTAATTTGCTTGAAGTCGTTTCACCTCTCATCCGAGAAGCTTCTTCAGTTCTAAGGTCACACGAGCCAAGGTGTGAAAATGTGTGTTCGTCACAATCAGCCAAGGTTTCGAGTGAAACCTAGCCCCACCTATCATGTGATTTCCTGAAGTCAAAAGGCCCAAGATGTGAGTGGGCATTAAGGTGTCTGGGAAGGGATCTCAACACTGTATCATAGATGGCAGACAGTTGGTGTCGTAAACCACCGCCTCTGTTCAAAGATGGTCATTCACAGTGGACATAGATGGCTTTTTTCACTCCTCTTTCAAACCATATTCTTTGTCCAAAATGTGAACATTGGCGTCCTCGAAGGAGTGACCTTTGTCCTTTAGATGCAGATGGACTGCCGTGTCTTGTCCCGTGGAGGTGGCTCTTCTATGTTGTGCCATGCGTTTATGAAGTGGGTGTTTGGTCTCTTCAATGGAGAGGTCTGAGCATTCCTCGCTACACTGTACAGCATACACTATGCTGTTAAGTTTCTGTTTAGGAGTTTAGGAAAACTCATATATCACATGACAGGGTGGGGCTAGGTTTCACAATGAGTTCACCCAAAACCTTGGCTGATTGTGACCTACACTCGTTCTCACATCTTGGCTTGTGTGATTAGGTAGAGGATCATTAGGTGGTCCTTTGTCCCTCTTGGTGGGTTACTCCCACAGAGCTTAAATCTGGGACTCTCCACCATTTCACCTTAGAACTGAAGAAGCTTCTCAGATGAAAGGTGAAACGTCTTTAAGCAACTTAAAGAAGTCCAGACGCTTTTCTTTCCAAGCTCCTTAGACCATGTTTGTATATATTTTTGCATGCTTTTATTTTGAAAGGTTTTTATGTCCTACTCCATCTTAATCAAAGAAAT